TACGACATCCGCTCGGGCAATTGCAAAACACCAATGACAGAACACTTGAACTCGCTTCACAATACTACTTAAGCAACTGTTATCAGCCCACACAACACACAGTCGACTCTCTCAGGTCTGGCTGGACGCAGTCAACAATAGCCCTGGTTTCGCCTGTGGCCTCTGCCACCTAAGACTGCGACTGGGAGTTCTGTATACAACAAACTCCTCATTCTGGTGACTCTTGCCTTCTAATTTCCAACCTGGGGTTCGGCCTAATGATTTTAGTGATCTAGGCACAACTACTACTTAGACCCCTACATATGTTTGCGATATAGCCTTTTAAAGTTCAGCATGAGAATATTTGCGGAACTTAGATACTCTATCCTACATAAAATCTTCCCACATCCAACCTCTTACTGCAGTCATAGGAGAACAAGACGTCCGGAGATGACTGTGTGGACGCAGTGGCTAATGCGTACTACAAGTGCTGAACCCTTACTCCACAATAGCCACTGAGAGAGCCTTGGATCTCACGTAATTGAGGGCGCCATAAATACAACGGTAAATTGCCATGTTCAGTTTAGCTGAAGGGGGGGTTTTTCCACCAGCCGAGAGTTTGTCGAACTTGCATTGATAGTATTCGAGTCGGCCTGGGCCCGTTGTCATAACAGAGTCACCAAAACTGAAATTGGGCGCAGGTGGCTGGCGTGGCGTGAACCCAGCACCTAAGCGTACTATCATGCTCCCAAGCCACCGCACAAAGGACCAGGACCTCACATAACCTAAAGTAGGGGGGTGGGGGACGGTTTGGCTGCTAAAGGAATGGAAAGTGACATATTCACAGGTGCACAAACGTCTGTAACATAGCCTAGGTTAAAACTCACAATCCTGTATTCATAAAGGGGCCTGCATTGACGAACAACAATCTGGAGATATTTAGCATTCTGTTGGGCCTCAGTATATATTGCAGCGACCCGATTGTCCAACTCTGTCCACGTCTAAGGGTACAAAAGGAAATGTGTTCAAAGTAAATAATTCAATATTTGGTGGGTGTCAAATTCAGTATGGTAATTTACTAATTCGTCCAAGAAACACAATGTACTGGTCGTATGAGCTTTAGCGTCTCTTCCTCAAAATGATTTTTCGCAACTTGAATACTAGCATTGTGCGATAAAATTTATAAGGCTCCAAACGGTGCCTCTCAGTCTAGCACCTTTTTGAGTGAATTTGTTGTGTAATCGCCTCGCTGATTACTGTCCGGAACTATTTTTTATGCGGCCAAAACTTGACGAGACAATAAGTCGTCAGTTATGGCTTCCAGCAGGTTTACACTAAGAACGCAGTTAACTGGCTTAATTTCCGCTCCAGACAGCCTTCCGATCCCATTTGTAATGCTTGACAGGACACAATTGGTGAACTTATTCAAAATTTAAAGTAACTCATTAGTCTTTATTTGGTAAAGCATCAAAGAATATCTCACTCGAATATATTTCAGTCGAGTCCTTACTTATCAGATATATTTTATAGAGCAGCTTATTTTATACTATTTCATCACTCATGTTAGTTACTTTGTATCTGTGGCTTCCAGCAGTAACACGAAGAACGCAGTTAATTAGCTTAAGTTTCGCTCCAGACAGCCTTTCGATCTCATTCATAAGACCATTCGTAATGCTTGACAGGACACAATTTGTGAATTTATTCAAAATTTAAAGTTGGTCTTTAGTCTGAGTTGTCGCCCGAAAATATACATTTAAGCCAAGCATAAATCGGGTCCTTATTTTGGAAAACATTAAGCAATATCTCATACGGACATATTTAAGTCGAGTCCTTAATTATTCTTCTTTAAAGAGCGACATATTTCATACATTTCGTCATCACTAACGTTATTTGCTTTGTATTTATGTCAAGAGAATTAATTATGTCGATTCATCCAAATAACTTAAATATTACCCGGCGTCTTCTTCGTGAGTTCAAGGTTCGGGTGGTGCACCACTTGGGGTTGGGTATGACTGGCTGACGACGGCTAAAAAGCCAGAAATGGCCATACCCATCTCCCGTGTCTTTGCCGGCAATACTAGCTGCCTAGTCTACTAGCCGCTACGACTGCTGTCAGGGCCTGAAAAATGAGACCCAAGGCAGAGCGGGACAAGTGAGTTCCGTTAGCGATCGGTAAGCATTCATCAAAGAGTGGCAATTCCTTTTCGTTATTCCATAATAAATGAACCGCTTCCACTATATAACAGATATAGTAGCATGCCCTTGATTGGCATCACTGACTGCGTCTTGGGAACCAAGCACGGCTCCCTGTGAGGTCTTCGTAGCTCAGTTGGTTAGAGCGTTGGCTGCACTAAAGCCTTCCCCCTACTGGCATGGGTTTGAATCCCACCAAGGTACAACTTTACTGAGCTCAAGGAGCTTTACAGTGGCGCCGCGTACGATAGCCAACCGTGCAGGTGCAAAAGTGGGGATGTGACAAGTTTAGGCTGTGCAATGAGTA